AAGTTAAATTAATTAGTAATATATAATGAATAAAATAGAAAAGTGTTTAATTGTCAGTTTTTTTTCAGTGAATAAATATAGAAAATAAATACACAGTTTTTCACATATATAATAAATATTTTGTAGCCCGATGAATATATAATGAAACAGAAATGATCTCTTGAAAAATCGGGCTAGAATTTGGCTAATTAAATAATTACTATAAATCAATTTAAAACTAGAGGGAGGCGTTAAAAGCCATCTCTGAATTAAATTAGTAATTATAATTTTAATAAATTATTAAATAAATTTATTTTTTATTTTTATTTTAAACAGAGGTTAGGAGGCTGTTCATTAATGAGTTGGACTTTGCCTCATAGAAGGAAGTAGTGAAGTAAGACATTAACTTGTCAAAGATGGAAGTGCTAAGAGAAATTTAGAGAAGAATATTTTGATTGGGAGGAATGAAAGAGTAGCATAGGTTGTAAAAGAAAATGGATGGGCTTAAGTGCGACCGCATCGCAATTATTAATAAAATAACAAATTAAAGCACACGATCAACAACGCAGTGTTGGAAACAGTAAAGCCAGACAATTCGTTTAAGCGCGGAGATGAGCTGCAATACGCCGCTATATACAGAAATAAAGTAAAACCGTACATGTTGTAACAGCTTGAGTCAGGGGGTGACAATGGTAGGACGTACTTTATAAGAGGTAAAAAATTCAATACTTGTTTTATATTATATAATAAAATCGTGGTGCAGAACTGCGGTACAGAATAAAAAAAGTACAGAACTGTAGCTCCCGTGCATTTTGCAAAACTACATTTCGGCTCCCAATGAACTCTTGCTTGCTCACCCCTAGTATATGTAATTAACGAATGATTAATTTTACATGACAAAAATAATTATTTACGATACGCGAAGTTTATAAATAATTCAAATACAGTGATTTATCCAACAGAAGATATTTATAAATCCATATTAATTTCGAAAGAAATTCCATGCAATGGAGTTCTTCTATGAAATTTTCGCGATATTTTTTACATATATCAAATTTACACAATGACACACATTATAAAAATGGAAATTGTAAAGTTGATTATTATATATAATTATTGTTTTAATGAATTACGATATTAAGAATCAGTTAGTATCAATAAATTTGAATTTATGGTACGTAATGAGAAATAGAATTTTTCGTCTAGAATAAAGTTAAGAATATTCAATTCCTTAAACAATGCTCTATTCTATTGAGTATAATTAATAGACAGAATGAAGAAAATATAAAGTTTTATCTTCTCTGTGTTAAAATGATCAGCATAATTATATATAATAGTTAAATTCTATACTTTTACATTAGTAAAGTGGATTACAGGTAACAATTTTAATCACTTTAGTTAAAATTATTTCAATGGTTAAGCAGATTAAAGACACTAGATATCCAATGCCCATAAGTAACAAAGGACTTTTAACATCTTCCATTGACAATGGTTGGAATTCCGATGCTTCTTGAAATTCTTCAACTTCTTGAGGAAACAATTTCTCAGAAATTCCAGCTTCAAACATACGAGTTACTCTAGAATAAGATTGTTTTGAATTTATATAAAAATTTTAATTGTGGTATGATGTATAAACGAATTTATAAATTTTATACGTGTTAATTAGTTCTTTCTTGTATGGAAAATTCTTTCTGATTGGATAAGCGGCCATATTTGTACGAAAAGAATCTTTCGACATCACATATTTATGCCGTTGTATTTTACTGATGTACGCATTTAACCCAAGTTTAGTGATTATGTATGCAAATCGTTCATTCTGCGCTTTTTTAATTCCTTCTGCCATAGCCATGAAGTTATTTTTCGACAGAATGTTTATTCTTAAAATTTTAATATTTTCTGACTTCGATTCC